TATATATATATATATATATACATACATACATACATATAAAATTCATTAAAAATTATTAGGAATCTTCTTGACACTTGTATTCAACTTAATTTTTAGTCATTAGAGCATAATTATCACTATTAATTAAGTATACAAATAAAGGTACCGGTTGATTTTGATGAGACATTTCACTCTCTTTTTTCTTTGTCTTCAATTTTTTTGTGTTTGTTTGTGCTTTCCAATGTTTTCTGTCTATAAGATTAAGATCAAGGCCACACTTAATGTCAGTGGCGGCTGCACAGGTCGGTAATGATCCCGCTGCTGTCAAGATTGTCACTCCACTAATCAATCAAACTCGCCTTTGTGAGAGTTTGTGTGTCAACGTGCCAGTTGATTAGTTGACTCCATTTACTCTTATGAATGTCAGTGCTGGGTCGAGGTGCACTTCAGGAACATCAAGTTTTCTTTGAGAAAACGGTTTAGGAGCACCAGAGGGAGAAACTGATGGGAAAATGGGATTTTCAGGACCCCAAAGCCAACCACCAAACATCCAGAGCAAGTAAAGTGCAAAGAAAAAGATGAAAATAAATTATTTTAAATGTAAACATGTGCTTGAACTATAAAGTCTGCATCTTTATCATTTAGTGGAGGGCAAAGTTTGGTGTCGCTGCCTGAAAGTACAGATTGGTTCAAAAGTCGACACAAAGTTCAGCTCACCCAAACAGAAAAATCCCTGTTCAGCACTCCAGCAACTCTCAGAAACCTTCTCTCATACAATTGCAATAAAACCTTGAACCATATCGCAGCCTCCAAAATGTAATTGGTTTCATTTCCCTCCACCTTGTCACGGTGTGCATATTTAGCTGGTGGGGATTTGGCTGACTGCAGCATCTCTCTGGGGAGAGATAAAGACCAGGCTGTCAGGAAGTGTCTCCTGTAACAACCTGGCCTCTGGCTGACAATACAGCAATGATGAAGGCAGTCGTTTTAAGGCCAGTGTGAGGGCAGCGCATGCATGCCAGCGAGCCTAATGATGCTGGCTTAACAATTTCTGCTCACTTCACGGATTACATCATGCGACATGGAGCGCAGGTTCAAATTAGAGTTCATCATCTATAATATCACCTCTGCTTTTATCGTCTATTATCAACTGGTTTTACTTGTCTGCACACAGGAAGAAAGGTTATCAAGTCCACCTATGAGAAGAATGTGTTTTTTGATGCATTACAAGAAGACATGTTGGAAGAGTTTGCCTGAAAGAGAGTTTTATTTTATGCTTAAATGTTAATTTTGTAGTCTCATAAAACTTCAGTAATTGGAAAACTTGTGCCACATGTACCAAGTTGCACTGATTTGGCCTCAAATCTCAACAAAAGTGGATAATAAAGTGTCAAACACACATCCAGCCTATCTTTAAAATGTGTAATAGTTCAAAATAAATGAAATTAATCATAAGGTCTGTAATGAAATAAGATTTCTTGATTTTGTTTCAACATCATTGGCAACTATTCTGTGGGCAGTACTGCAGGGGTCCATCCTCGGTCCTCTTCCCTTTTCTTTATACCTGCTGCCACTAGGTGCTATTTTATCATGCCCTTTCATTTCTATGCCAATGACAAATGTCAAATTCACTTCCCTTTGAACCACAGTGGTGCATGTTCCAGTCAACCTCTTCTTGACTGCCTGGCCAACGTCAGGGACTAGAGGTCTTTAAAGCTTTAATGAAAAGAAGACTGAAGTCACGTTGTTTTCTCCAAATGACATAATCAAGAGCCACAGTATTGGCCTCTCCTCTCTAGCCCCATTAGAGAAACAAAACATCACAAATCTGAGAGTGATAATGGACCCTTCCATGAAACTTAACAGTCATGTAAACATGATTGTTGAATCCTGTTTTTTTTCAGTTGAGGTGACTGTCTAAGCTGAAGCCAATACTGTCCAAAAGTAACTTTGAGACAGTAATACATGCTTTCATAACATCCAGGCTCGATTACTGCAATGTGCTTCTGTTTGGAATCAGTCAGACTTCCACTGCACACTTATAACTGGTCCAAAATGCTGCTGCCCGATTTTTAACCGGTACAGGCAAAAGAGAGCACATTACACCAGTTTTGGCCTCCCTGCACTGGCTCCCGGTTCACTTTCGAATTCGGTTCAAAATCTTTTTGTATGTTTGTAAATCTCTGAACAGTTCTACCCACGCTTATCTTACTGATCTGCTGCAGCCATATGTCCCACAGTACTCTCTGAGGTAAGTAAATCAGATGCTTCTATTGGTTCCAGGAACCCGTCGTAAGCGCAGAGGTGACGGGGCTGTCTCTGTTGCAGGTCCAAGACTGTGGAATGAGTTACCACTGCATGTCAGGCAGTCCTCTCTCACTGTTTTTAAGTCTCGCTTAAAAAGACACTTATTCCCTGACTTTTGACAGAGTGTGATATGTTCTTAACCTGTCTGTATATTACAATGTTAGCCTTTTAGTTATTATCTTCTTCCAATCGTATCTAAATTTTTATTCTACTTTATTTAATTTTTTGCTGTGTGCTTTGCTTGCTTGTTCTGCTGTACAGCACTTTGGTTAGCCTTGTTACTGTTTTAAGTGCTCTATAAATAAAGTGTTATGGTATGGTACGGTATCATAATGAAAATCTGTTATAATTAAAAAAAATTTAAAAATCACCATTTAGTTAATGTGATTTGTGCTGATTTCAGCACAAATCAATAGTTTTCTGACTTTGGGTTAACATTTTAAAATATATGTCTGTGGCTCTTAAATATTTCAGCTTTACATAAACAACAAAACAGAAGCAGAGACATGTGATCTGGCCTCTTACTGGTTGAAGTACAAAAGAATTGTTAATAAACCTTTTCTACAAGAGCATAATGACAATACAAATAATGATAACAGTGATTATACTGATTAAATTGTAAATTTGTATAGGATTTTTGAAGTTCATCTCAAAACTGCATTCCAATTCTTAATTGTCCCACTCTGTAACCCCCATTTATGGAACCAACTGGTATGTGTGACCTGATTACTGATGTTTTCTCATAACCTATTCTGTAATCAGTCGCCCAAATTTCACCAAACATCAACTGTGAAAAGTTCACACTGACTGGGAATGTAATATATGTAGTAGCACCACATTTTGTCTAAATGTATAAACATAATATTGCATTCTAAAAAAGTTAAATCTGGTCCTCTGGACATAAAAAAATTTAAATAATAATAATAATAATAATTAAAGCTGCAAGCAGCGTTGAAGGCCCTCGCAGCTAAGCGCCGCTGCGGCCTCATGGCGACCGCGGGAACTTGAGCTACTCTTCCCGGTCGCAATGGAGAACGCTCACGCTACTGTCACGCGCCCATTTTCCGGAGTGCGCATTCACAGAACCTTTGACATCAGCTGCAACAGCATATATAACAACTGTAATAATTTAGGGGGTGCACTTGAGTCAAATGATAAACAACAACACCACTGTGTCCATAAGTCCTCACTAATCAAGCACCAAAAATCTGGTACAGATCAGACGATATATCACTGAGATATAACAGTTTGATTTATGTAGGGGGCGCACTTGAGTCAAATATTAAACAACAACACCACTGTGTCCATAAGTCCTCACTAGTCAAGCA